CCATAATCCTTTGTATATCTTTGAGTCACTCCGCAAACCCACCACAAATTGCTTTAATTCTAGACCAGCTTCTCCAAGCTACCCAGCTACCTGCACCACTTCCCTTTTATCAATGAAAGAAATGCATAGTGTAGAAAAATTTCTTGGGAAAAACATGTGGATTCAACAAATATTTTCGAATGCCTGCAATGTGTCAAACACTGCTTCAGGCACTAGGGTTACACTTGGGAATGGCACAGACATCTTTCATGAAGTTTACATTCTAGAGGGCTAGAAGCTGACCAAACCAAACCAAACAGAAACAAAAACCTCCATGCTTTTGATTCTTCATATTTTTTAAACAGGCTCCAGGTTGTCATTATCTTTCTTAAAATGTGCCATCCCAAAATTAAGCAAAAACTCCATTCAAGTATTCTAAAATGAAACCTGGATCATAATGAAAGTATATTTTTAGGGTGGGCGTGGTGGCTCATGCCTGTAGTCCCAGCATTTTGGGAGGTAAAGGGCAGAGGACCATTTGAGCCCAGGAGTTTGAGACCAGCCTGGGAAACATAGTGAGACTCTGTTAAAAATAATTAAAAGTCTGCTGAGTGTGGTGGTATGTACTTGTAGTCCTGGCTACTCGGAGGCTGAGGAGGGAGGATTGCTTGAGCCCAAGATCGAGGCTGCAGTGAGTTATGATCACGCCATGCACTCCAGCCTGGGCGACACAGTGAGACCTTGTCTCTTAAAAAATACCTATCTATATATAATCTTTTATAAATATTTAAATAGAGATGGGGTTTCACCATGTTGCCCAGGCTGGTCTCGAACTCCTGAGCTCAAGCAATCCTCCTGCCTCAGCCTCCAAAGTGCTGGGATTATAGGCGTGTGCCACCAATCTTGGCCAAAAAAAAAAAAAAAGTATATTTTTAATATTTATATTTACCTTTATCAAGGTAGTAGGATCAAATGTAGTTTATTTAAGTTTGTTGGATTGATTTATAAGTCTTAAATATTTAGGCCCCTGGTATGTGAGTCTCTACTTGTTCTTTGGTATTATACCCTACCAGAATTAGGGATTGATGAGTTGGTGGGAGAGTGTTTCTCCCCACAGAATTACTTTCCTACTCATGGCATCAAAATCTGTGATTTTAGACTAATTTTCTCCAAATTAATCAGCAAAATATTATAATTTTTTTTTTCTTTCTTTTTTTTTTTTTTGAGACGGAGTCTCCCTCTGTTGCTCAGGCTGGAGTGCAGTGGCACGATCTCGGCTCACTGTAATCTCCACCTTCCAGGTTCAAGCGATTCTCCTGCCTCAGCCTCCTAAGTAACTGGGACTACAGGCACCTGCCACCATGCCTGGTTAATTTTTTGTATTTTTAGTAGTTATGGGGTTTCACCATGTTAGCCAGGATGGTCTCAATCTCCTCACCTCATGGTCTGCATTCTCAGCCTCTCGAAGTGCTGGGATTACAGGTGCCTGCTACCACACTATTTTTTGTATTTTTCGTAAAGACAGGGTTTCACCATATAGGCCAGGCTGGTCTCTAACTCCTGACCTCCAGTGATCTGCCCGCCTTGGCCTCCCAAAGCTCTGGGATTACAGGCATGAGCCACTGCACATGGCCAAAATATTATAACTTTTGATATGTACTTTCTGTTGCAAAAAAACCAGAGATTTGTGTACATTAGCTGAAGCAGTGGAGCATTTACTATCATAATTCGCTTGGCATAGGAGAGAGTTGTTAGGACTCCAAGAACAGAAACCATAGTGCAGCTGGGCCTTGCACAGAGGCAGAGTGGAGTCAGGGCAGCCCCAGGGATCTTGCAGTAGGGACCATCATGTAGGTGCCCCGGAGGTAACATGACTCCAAGCCACTGCTTCTTTGGATGGATTTCTTCCTCTCGTTCTTACTTGGGTACCTGTGAGTTTTGTCTTCTCTCTGCCTCATAGCTGCTTATTCGCGATGTGGCTTGCCCACAGGGACTCTCTGCACCCCTGTAACTCAGCCTATCAGCTTAACATGCTCCATGTTTCTCAATTCAAAATATCAAGGACAAGAATGTAACTGAATCTCTGTGTTTCTTGTGGGGAAAATATGTTTATGTCAAGCCAACTCATAGCCAATTTCCTGGTCTCTTTAAATACATCTGGCGGAGCATCGTTGGTTGATTGACTGCCCTTCTGTTAGGTGTGTACCCCTACCCGATTAGCTGTGGTCCGAGGAGATATGTAATAGAAAACCTGGCTGCTGAGGGTGGGCTCATGGTGTGGCCGTTTTTCTCAGAAGTGGCGGTGGGCACAGCAGACACCGTGGTTATTCAGTACAGTAGTTGTGGTGAGTCTCGGTGGCCGCCCCATCATGTTTGCCACGCATTCCCCAAGAAAACAGTTCATCTCCTGACTAGCCATGGTACACCACCATGGCATATCTCTACAGTGGAACTCTAACGCCAGTATATATTTCTCCTTCTGTGGCAGGTGTAAGGATTATCAAATTTGCTATCATCAGTCGTCCTTCCTCATTTTTCTGAGGTGCACAGGTTAATGCTTCTTCCCCAGAAGTTTCATAATTCACTTTAGGTGGGATCTGCACCCCACTTAGTTGGGGCCTAGGGAGGGTCTGCATAAGGCAATAGCAAAATGGTGATGGTTTGGGTCCTGGGATCCAGAGCTAGATTTGCTAGAGGGGAGATTTATGAGTGTGAACCAAGGTCTTAACAAAATGCCAAGGAAAGAGATTGAGAAAGCCAAGTCCAGGTGGCAAGTCCAGAGGACAGAACAAGGGCAAAAACAGGAGACAATCCAAGGATCGGGAATTGGGCAAAACTGGAATAGATGGAGGGTGAGGTGAGAACTGCTGACCCAGGCGCCGTAGTGTCTGTGTTTGCTTTTATGGACTCACAAGGCAGTGCATGGGGGATATTCTGGAAGAGCCTATTTCCTTTTCCTTCTCCCTTTACTCCATGGCACGTTCTTTTGTTTCAACCTCTGAGAGGCATTCCAACCCTTCTTCATCACCTTGGAAGCTTTTACTTTCTGCTGGGATTATTTTTTTCTGCCTGACTCAGAATTCTCCAATTTCTTTAGTAACCTGGAGTTCAGCATGACATAGCTCAAGCTCTTTAACCAGCTTGCTTTAAAGAACACAGTCTGGCAGGGGACTGTAGCTCATGCTTGTAATCCCAACACTTTGGGAGGCTGAGGCAGGTGGATCACTTGATGTCAGGAGTTCAAGACCAGCCTGGCCAACATAGTGAAACTCTGTCTCTACTAAAAATACAAAAAGTAGCTTGGCGTGGTGGGGAGGCTGAGGCAGGAGAATGGCTTGAACCTGTGAGGCAGAGGTTGCAGTGAGCTGAGATCACACCATTGCAGTCCAGCCTGGGCAACAGAGCCAGACCCCAGCTCAAAAACAAAGAACATAGTCTGGAAGATGAATTTTGCATCTGCCTTACAGGCCACTGAAACTATTACCTCAGTGTGTGTGTGCTTGAGAATCAAGAACAGCTAGCTTCGTGTCTTCCTCAAGGAAACTCTGCTCCTGTCTTATGACATTCCTGGGAAGAGGTGCTACATACAGTTCTTTTTACGTGGTGTATCCAGCCCCACCCCATCCCAAGCCTGATAATCTACCAAGGAAAGGTGGCAGTTACTCAGGTCGCTTGTTATCACAGGTTTGATACACTCCCACATGGTCTCACAGATGTATGCCTGATTCTTCGTGTCAGGTAACCCACACGATAACCAGCAACACTACCTTGTTCACATACCTCATGTGTCGTCCATTCCATACCTTTACCATGACTGCTGTCTGAAAAGGACACGTGGTCAGCTTTATAGTCAGAGATGATGCCATTGATAATTCCAAAGAGAAAAATCTTTTGAATTGGCTCTACTAATCCTAAAATCATTAAAATGTCATTGTTCCCAAGGAAGATGGCCAAAGCTCTATCCTCAGTTGCTCTGCTCACAAATGTCCAGATAAGCCTGCATTCATGTCTCCACCTGGAACAACGTTTCTCATTAAGTGTTCAGAATACCTGCCAAGCCACCAACCTAGGGGTGACTTCTAAGGGTGGGGTGTGTGCATGTGGGGAGAAGGGGTTTGCCCATAGAACTTCTGTTTAGAATGCATTTATAAATGGTGGTCTAGGGTGTCCCAAATCTTACTATTAGTGCTTTATGATGAGAGCACTGACAACAAAATGGGTTCTTGTGGACTGGATGGGAGTTAGGCTGTCACTTTTACTTTACGTGGGCCAGGTGCAGTGGCTGATTCCTATAGTCTCAGTGCTTTGGGAGGCCAAGGCAGGAGGATCGTTTGAGCCCAGGAGCTTGAAACTACTTTGGGCAACAAAGCAACATCCCATCCCTACTAAAAATTTAAAAATTAGCTGGGCATGGTGACACACACCTGTAGTTCCAGCTATTCGGGATGCTGAGGCAGGAGGATCACTTGAGCCCAGGGAGTCGAGGCTGTAGTGAGCAGTAATCACTGTACTCCAGGTGACAGAGCAAAACCATATCTAGAAACAAACAACCCATAAACGTGTAACATAAACATGTAACAGGAGCGTCTGACACTAGTATGTAGAATGTTCTGCAATAGTTTAGAACTTACACAAATATAGGCCTAGACTGGGTGCTGTGGCTCATGCCTGTAATCCCAGCACTTTGGGAGGCCAAGGCGGGTGGATCACGAGGTCAGGAGTTCAAGTCCAGGCTGGTCAAAATGGTGAAATCTTGTTTCTACTAAAAATACAAAAAAAAAAAAAAAAAAAAAAATCGGGCATGGCGACAGGTGCCTGTAATCCCAGCTACTCAGGAGGCTGAGGCAGAGAATCGCTTGAACCCAAGAGGTAGAAGTTGCAGTGAGCGAAGATCGCACCACTGAACTTCAGCCTGGGCTACAGAGCAAGACTCCTCTGTCAAAAAATAAAAATAAAAATAGGCCTTTCTCAAACAACCAAGTGATATCTTCTGAGTTTGTATAGTGGAGAAGATACGGGCATTAAAAGACATGTTTATCTTTTTAATAAGTAGTTCAATTGTTTTTCTTATTCATGTAACTCAGGATCAATAGTAACTTCATCTAATGTGCCATCAGGGCAGTTGCAAGTGGAATGAAAGCGATGCCCACCACAAAATCCTTTTTCTCCTGAACTCTCCATAAAGTCTCCCTCTTTGCACATCTTTGTGATAGAATAATTAGCTACTTGTAAAGAGAGTACACATAGTAACACTATACATTCACATATTTCCCCCCTGCGTCTGTTATCTTATTTAAGGGCAATTTATTTGGAGTCAGAATTGAATTCAAATTGTGACTATTGCAGTAAGTAACTGTGGCCTGGGGAAGTCACTTAAGCTCTCTGGGTGTCAGTTTTCTCACTTGTGCAATGAGATTACTAATAAAAATTATGGCTGGGCAAGGTGGCTATGCCCATAATCTTAGTACTTTGGGAGACTGAGGAAGGTGGATTGCTTGAGCTCAGGAGTTTGAGACCAGCCTGGGCAAGAGGGTAAAACCCCATCTTTACTAAAATACAAAAATTGGCTGGTGTGGTAGTGCACGCCTTTGGTCTCAGCTACTTGGGAGGCTGAGGTGGAAGGATCACCTGACCCAGGGAAGTTGAAACTGTAGTGAACTGTGATCATATTACTGCACTCCAACCTCGGTGACAGAGCTTGACTATATCTCAGAAAAAAAAAAAAAAATTACCTCACTGGATAGCATGGATTAAATAAACTAATATTTGCAAATTTCCTTGCACAGAGAGTATGCATTCAATAAATGGTAGATTAATCTCTAATAATTGTCTCCAGCTTTGTAAGTCTGCCAGACAGTTTTAATTATCCCTGTCTGGATAGATGAGTTTAAGTGACTTACCCAGGATTAAACAATTCATTAATGGCAGCACTAGTGCTTTTTATTCTAGAGCCCCACCCCAGCCCATCACCCCCAGTCAACTTTGTAGATTTTTATAGAATGAGATGCTGTGTCCAGCACAAGAAGAGAATTCTCCTTGGTGAAGGTAAGAGCCACAGGATGAGAAAGACCGTGAGTGACCATGGGCTTTGGTACTGGAAACTCCTCAGGTTTTCCTAAGCAAAGGATAGCTGGACCAGATGTATCTGCAACAATCACGTTTCCCTGGTGATCAAAGGTTACAGCTGAGGCAGTTATTTTGGAGGGAAAATAGAGGCTCAGCCCAAAGGTATCCACCTGGCTAACAAGCTGCATACTTGAGCTAAACACTTTCACCCTGGTGCTGCAGACCCTACTCCCCAGGGCCAGGGGGTGCTCGAGGACTGCAATGGCCCCGGTGAGCCAAGACACTGCCACCCCACGGGGATTGCACAGATGAGCTTGCAACCTTTCAGTTCTCCGAAGGACCCCTTCGGCGAAGTCGACGTCCAAGAGGTGCAGGGACCCTGCCTCCGCATCAGTTACCACAATCCCATTCTGAGGGGTGGTCTCCACACCCCACGGTAAGGAGAATTGGTCTCCAATGACAAGCTTGATCTGGCCAAAAAAGTCAAACACTTTGATGGAGCGATCTCCCGCGTCAGTGACAACCACATGGCAGTCGTTGGTGACGGTGACATCCACAGGGTACCTAATGTCTTGGGCAGCGTCCCCCTTCTCTCCAAACTGATGCGCGCATCCTCCCCCGGAGTCAAAAATCTTGACACGTCTCTTGCCGTCGTGCACCACCACGACCCGCCCCGTCTTGGGACAAAGCGCCAGTCCGGTGGGGTTGACCAGAGTCCCCCAGCCGCCGAAGGCGTGGTGGCAGGTGAGGGCTCCGGGGGCGCTGGGGGCGGCGCGGTGGGCGGCCGGGGACTGGCGAAGCGCCGAGCCCAGGAGCTCTATGAGGTGCAGCACCGGCAGGCAGTCGCTGGTGTCGCAGCCCCGGCAGGCTCGCCTGCAGAATGGGCACTCGAGGGCCAGCGTGCGCGGGTGCGCCAGGGCGGCCACGCAGGCCAGGCAGACCACGTGGCCGCAGGACAGATTGCGTGGGCGCCGCTGCTGCCGGTGGCCAAACCTCTCAAAGCACACCTTGCACTCGAGCAGGCTGATCTCCGCCTCGCGCATGAGCTCCTGCAGCTCCGGCCGGCTCCCCGAGGCTTCGGCCCCCATGGCGGGTCCTGCACACTCCCGCGGCGCCGCCCGGCCGTGCCCCAGCGACGCCCTCGGTCACGGTCACAGTCACGGTCACGGGGTCGGGCGTGCGCCCTGACGTCGAGCGCAGCGGGCCTCTGCACTGCGATCTGCTGCCCCTTGGTGGGCACGCGCGGCACTGTTTCCCGGGGGCCTGGTCGTGGACGTTTGCAAGACAAATCCACATGCGCGTTAAGACCTGTAATCGTCACAGCAGTCATGGATGGATTGGGTACACTTTCAGATGAGAAAACACACCTATTGAGGACAACCGGATTGCTCCCTGTGACTCCGCCTGTAGGTGGCAAAGCAAGAACTAGAGCCTGGTCTTCCCGCCCGGGTGCCCAGCAGTGTCTCCAGTCTGCAGCGCTGGGTGCTGGGGCTGTCCAGGCATAAAACATGGTCCCTTAGCTCATGATGCTTGTGATCTGAACCGGAAAACCCCAACACGCGAGAGAAGATAAACTCCAAGGGAGGTAAGGCAGATGTGCATGTTTCTTTTGTGTCTTCCATCACACTGTTGTTAAGTCAATGCTGAATGAATACACACTTGTAAAATGAATTCGTGCATGAATGAAGGAATGTTATAGAACAAAAAAAAAATCCACTAGGTGAATGAGTGTCGGATGAGGGAACCATGGCTGGAAGTATGTTGGAGTAATTAGTATGAAATAAGAAAGCTGTTAGTTAATAATAATTACCATAGAACTTTATCTATATTTTAAAAATTGTGTTTTAGGTTTTGGGGTACATGTGAAGAACATATAAGATTGTTGCATACGTACACACATGGCAGTGTGGTTTGCTGCCTTCCTCCCCATCACCTATAGCTGACATTTCTCCCCATGTTATCCCTCCCCAACTCCCCACCCCTTACTGTCCTTCCTCTGGTTTCCCCCACCCACAGACCCTAGTGTGTGATGCTCCCCTCCCTGTGTCCATGTGTTCTCATTGTTCAACACCCGCCTATGAGTGAGAACATGTGGTGTTTGATTTTCTGTTCTTGTGTCAGTTTGCTGAGAATGATGGTTTCCAGGCTTATCCATGTCCCTACAAAGGACACACACTCATCGTTTTTTATGGCTGCATAGTATTCCATGGTATATATGTGCCACATTTTCCTTTTCCAGTCTATCATCGATGGGCATTTGGGTTGGTTCCAAGTCTTTGCTATTGTAAACAGTGCTGCAAGGAACATTCATGTGCATGTGTCCTTATAATAGAATGATTTATAATCCTTTGGATATATACCCAGTAATGGGATTGCTGGGTTAAATAGAATTCCTATTTCTAGGTGCTTGAGGAATTGCCACACTGTCTTCCACAATGGTTGAACTAATTTACACTCCCACCAGCAGTGTAAAAGTGTTCCTATTTCTCCACATCTTCTCCAGCATCTGTTGTCTCCAGATTTTTTAGTGATCGAAATTCTAACTGGCGTGAGATGGTATCTCAATGTGGTTTTGATTTGCATTTCTCAAATAATCAGTGATGATGAGCATTTTTTCATATGTTTGTTGGCCTCATATATGTCTTCTTTTGTAAAGTGTCTGTTCATATCCTTCGACCACTTTTGAATGGGCTTTTTTTTTTTTTTTTTTTCTTGTAAATCTGTTTTAGTTCTCTATAGATTCTGGGTATTAGCCCTTTGTCAGATGGGTAGATTGCAAAATTTTTTTCCCATTCTGTTGGTTGCCAATGCACTCTAATGACTGTTTCTTTTGCTGTGCAGAAGCTCTGGAGTTTAATTAGATCTCTTTTGTCTATTCTGGCTTTTGTTACCAATGCTTTTGGTGTTTTAGTCATGAAGTCCTTGCCTGTGCCTATGTCCTGGATGGTTTTACACAGGTTTTCTTCGAGGGTTTTTATGGTGCTTGGTCTTATGTTTAAATCTTTAATCCATCTGGAATTAATTTTAGTGTAAGGTGTCAGGAAGGGGTCTAGTTTCTGCTTTCTGCACATGGCTAGCCAGTTTTCCCAACACCATTTATTAAACAGGAAATTCTTTCCTCATTGCTTGTTTTTGTCAGGTTTGTCAAAGATCAGATAGTTGTAAATGTGTGGTGTTGCCTCCGAGGCCTCTGTTCTGTTCCATTGGTCTATATCTCTGTTTTGGTACCTGTACCATGCTATTATGATTACTGTAGGCTTGTAGCATAGTTTGAAGTCAGGCACTGTGATGCCTCCAGCTTTGTTCTTTTTGCTTAGAATTGACTTGGCTATGTGGGCTCTCTTTTGGTTCCATAGGAGGTTTAAGGTGGTTTTTTTCCAGTTTTGTGAAGAAGGTCATTGGTAGCTTGATGAAGATAGCACTGAATCTATAAATTACTTTGGGCAGTATGGCCATTTTCATGATATTGATTCTTCCTAACCATGAGCATGGAATGTTTCTCCATCTGTTTGTGTCCTCTCTTATTTCATTGAGCAGTGGTTTGTAGTTCTCCTTGAATAGGTCCTTTACGTTCCTTGTTAGTTGTACTCCTAGGTATTTTATTCTCTTTGTAGTAATTGTGAATGGCAGTTCGTTCTTGATTTGGCTCTCTTTAAGTCTGTTATTGGTGTATAGGAATGCTTGTGATTTCTGCACATTGATTTTGTATCCTGACACTTTGCTGAAGTTGCTTATCAGTTTCAGGAGATTTTGGGCTGAGACGATGGGGTCTTCTAAATATACTATCATGTCATCTGCAAATAGAGACAATTTGACTTCCTCCTTTCCTAATTGAAGACCCTTTATTTCTTTTTCTTGCCTGATTGCTCTGCCTAGAACTTCCAATACTATATTGAATAGCAGTGGTGAGAGAGGGCATCCTTGTCTAGTGCCAGATTTCAAAGTCTGACTTTGTCACCCAGCCTGGAGTGCAGGGGCATGATCACAGCTCACTGCAGCCTCCATCTCCCAGGCTCAAGGCTCAAGCAGTCCTCCCACTTCAGTAGCTGGGATTACAGGCATGCACCACCACACTAGGCTAATTTTTTTATTCATTCGTAGAGGGGAGGTTTCACTGTGTTGCCTCGGCTGGTCTTGAACTTGTGAAAATTGTGAACAATCTTCCCCACCCTTTGAACTCCCAAAGTGTCACTGTGCCCAGCCGACAGAATTCACGTTATGCCTGCCCTGTTGTGTTAGGGTGGTGCAAATGTAATCACACTGTTTGCCATTAAAAGTAATGGTTTTAATTACCATTTGCCATTAAAAGTAATGGCAAACATCATGATTACTTTTGCATCAACCTAATAAATAGTTTACATAGATTATCTTATTTAAACCTCATAGCAATCCTATAAGAATATGTTATTTTTATCATCTTTTTTTTTCTGACAGAGTTCATAGAAGTCAAATATCTCGCCCAGGGCCACATGGCTAGGAAGTGGCTGGCCTGGAATTTGAAGCGAGGCAGTTTGACTTAAGAGTCCACACTGTCACCTATTTCAGTCATTTTCAAACTGCTTTGCACATGGTAAACATCTGGATCGCACACAAAAAGTTTAATTGGCCCATGATGTGGTCTGGACAGCTGGGATTTATAAAAGCTTCCCAGGTGATTATAATGTACAGCCAACTTTGAGAACCACTGCATTACAGTAATTCCTTCAAATGACACTAAGTTCAGTTTTTCCAGTCTCTGTTGAGACCAAAAGCAAAGAGAATCTGCCATATGTTGGAAAATCTTCAAACAAGAGAATAGCACACTCTGTGTGAAGAATCCATTGTGGTATTATAATCTCTTATTTTTCTTTTCTTTTCTTTTTTTTTTGAGATGGAGTCTCACTCTGTCACCAGGCTGGAGTGCAGTGGCATGACCTCAGCCTCCCAGGTTCAAACAATTCTTCAAAGTCAGCCTCCCTCCTGAGTAGCTGGGACTACAGACACATGCCACCGTGCCCAGCTAATTTTTGTACTTTTAGTAGAGATGGGGTTTCACCATGTTGGCCAGAATGGGCTCTATCTCTTGACCTCGTGATCTGCCCACCTCGACCTCCCAAATTGCTGGGATTACGGGCCTGAGCCACCAAGCTTGGCCTTTTTTTTTTTTTTTTTTTTTTTTTTTTTTTTTGAGACAGAGTTTTACTCTTTTACCTAGGCTAGAGTGCAGTGGTGTGATCTCAGCTGACTGCAACCTCCACCTCCAGGGTTCAAGGGCTCCTGACGCCTTGGCCTCCTGAGTAGCTGGAATTACAGGCACCCACCACCATGCCTGGCTAAGTTTTATAGAAATGGGGTTTTGCCATGTTGGCCAAACTGGTCTCAAACTCCTGACGTCAGGTAATCCACCCATCTCTGCCTCCTCAAGTGCTAGGATTAGAGGCACGGGCCACCACGCTTTGCCCTAATCTTTTGTTTTTAAGGAATTGCCCCCCAAATGTCTTATGTGAACATTGTGTTTAACAAAACCTTATATTACAGAATTTCTGTTCCTTTAGAGATCATAATCATGATCATGATTCACCTTCTGATGTGCTAGATTTCTGAGAAAACACAACATTTTGTCCCCTGTTAAGGCCCCTGGAGACAGCTTTAATGTAAGACAAGAAAGAAAATTTTCTCATAAAATGTTATTTGACTCAAAGATTGTGTACTGGGACACAATAACCAACTTAATACCCTAATTTCTGACTACATTTCCATCCCAAATAAATAACCAACTAAATTACATCATTTATGCAATCACACCATTGCACAATTGATTAATAACAGAAATAACTTGAATCTCACTCTAACATTTGGCATTTCCTGTGACTGTCATTTCCTCCTCCAAGGCTGAGCCTCCATGGATTTCCTCTGTGCTTTTCTCTGATATTCCTTATATAGAGGGTCCTGGACTAGCATACCCATATTCTCCTGCTTCCACCCTGAACAAGCCCTGAGAATTGTGGGGGCAAAGGGCTTGAAGAGCAGAACATGTGGTTTCCAAAGTGGTCAGTGGCTGAGCCATGAGCAAAGTACCATACTGTGGCGGAAGGAGAGTGGGGACCCAGCTCAGGATGGTTCCAGCAGAGAAGACAGCACATGGGGAGCATGGGGAAAAGGGAATCAGTGCTTAGGCAAGTGGGCT